GTTTGGTCCAGAAAAAACATCCCTGGCAATGCAGCTCTTCAAACACCCTCTGTATGCCTAAAAATCCAAGCATTATGCACTCTCTCTGACTAACCATTGTTAATGTCAGTGAAACCTTCATGGTGATCCACTAATGACCGTATAACCTTCAAAAATAGCACTTTCTGATTAAGTTCTTAGACTGACGGGGAGTAGGCAGCCCAGAATTGATATGTCTTTCTTCATCACTCCACATCAGGGTGGGAAGTCCATTGCATTGAATAAGTTTATGATTTCCTGCATGTTGTCCACAGTCACAATCCTGTGCAAGAGACAGGTATTAGGCTGCACACCTGGTTGATGGACTGTCCTCACTGAAAACTTCCCAACACCAACTGATAGCAATTTAGGAATGCAAGCTTCCAGTGTGAATGCTACTCATTTTTCTGCTGTCAAAACGGCTCTCATTTGCTGCTTCAGCAATAGAAGGCGAAGGAAAACTCAGCACACAACATACAAAGGTAAAGAAAGTCCAGAAATGTGACTTTCTGCATCTGAAAGTTCTGAAGCCTCTGCTGATCAGTCCAGATTTAAATCACAAACAAAAAATATGCAGGCAGTGCTTTTTAAAGGACCGGTTTTTTAAAGAGTATCACTTCATTTCACGACTGCAGATTGGGCATGAAGGTTCAACTTGCGCGTGCTGATTTATATATAAATACTGCAGATCAGACTGGGTGTGTGGTTTGTGAACATCTCTTCACATAACATGAATATATTGTACAGAACAGCAATGAAATAACTCACAATGATGCATCCAAGTTATATTTTTCATTTTTTCAAATAAATCATATATAATATTCTGACACTTGCATAGCTTGTCCATTCCACCCTAACAAACTAACTCAACAAAAAGAAAATATGTTTAACAGGAGACAGTTCTCTTAAAGAGTCAATTATTATAAACAAAACCACATATCTAATGTAACATGACACCTGGAATCCCAAATGTTATTATTTGATATTCTCCATATTATTTAGGGCATTATGAAACTTGCTTCTGTTATTCACTGTTTATGTCTATTCTTCCCAAGTTACAAACTATATAACCATGTGCATCATTCACCTGATTTTTGCAGCTGGACTAATTTCCTTTGAGTTCCTTGTTTAGGTGCCTTTTGCTAATTCATTTTCATCTTTTGATTCTGGTATTCAAACCCTTTCATTCTGCTATGACATTCTATTTATATATCTGATTTCTAAATGTGCTGTATACCAACTCATACAGGTTGTATCTTCCAGGTCTAACACCCTTGGAACCTAACTAGTCCCAAACCAGGTAATTTGCCGGACCAGAAGAGATCCATGCTAGCTCCTCTTCCTTCACCAGTTGCGGGGCTCTGCTCAGAAATGAGCTATTTGGGTAGTGGAGGAGTTGCTCAGCGTGGGGCCCTTGGCTTTTCCCTGTGAGTGCTCCAGCCCAAGAGCACCCACAAGGATGCCAGGCTATGGATATTACCGAATGAGAGAAGTCTGGATTATAGAGGTTCAACCTGTACTCTGAGGCTGTGTCTAGACTACATCCCTCTTTCAACAGAGGGATGTAAATTAGACACTTCAAAATTGCAAATGAGCAGAGATTTAAATATCCTGCATTTCATTTGCATAATCTTGTAATGACTCTGTTTCGAAAAAGCACCATTTCAAAAGTAAAACCGCAGTCTAGACGCGGTTCTGTTGAAAACAGAGGGCTTTTTCGAAAGATCCCGTATTCCATGAAAATACAGGATCTTTCAAAAAAGCCTGCAGTTTTTGACAGAACCACGTCTAGACCACGGTTTTACTTTCGAAATGGCGCTTTTTCAAAAGAGCACCATTACACAATTATGCAAATGAAACACGGGATATTTAAATCCCCGCTTCATTTGCAATTTCGAAGTGTCTAATTTACTTCCCTCTGTCGAAAGAGGGATGTAGGCTACACGCAGCCTGAGTAACTGCTGTTTCAAAATTTCTACAATCTGCAAATCTAAGTACAAGGTCTTTACCATATAGTTCCATGTAGATGAAATTTGTGCTGTATATTTATTACCTCACTTTTAAGTCTTATTTTAAACATTATATTCTGATTTACATGTTTTCTAAACCTTTGTATTAATTCTGTGTTGTTTTAGTTATAGTTGTTTCAGGGCCGGATTAAGGCATGGGCTAGCTGGGCAGCTGCCTGGAATGCCAACCTTCGGGGGGGCCTGATGGCAGCTGTAAGGGGCGCACTGCACCCCTTACAGCTGCCATCAGGCGCCGTGCACCCGGCTCCTGGGCTGCAGCAGCTCCCAGCAGTAGGGTTGCCAGATGGCTGAAAGAAAAATACCGAACACTGCCCCCCCCCAAAAAAAAACCGGGAAAAAATTTTGCTGAAGGAAAAAAAAAGGAGGGGGTGTCGCGAGGAAGGGGGAGTGGAAAGCAGAGCCGTTCCTGAATTGACAGGCTGCTCCAGTGCCTCTGATACAGCTCATAGTTTTGCCAGGCTGCAGAAGAGCAAAATTAACAAGAGCAATCCACTCAGTTTCATGCTGCTAACTCACAGGTGTTAGAGAAGCAACTCCTAGTTCTCACCATTCAGGGAGCGGGAAGCACAGCTGGCGGGGGCGGGGAGAGGTGCAGCAGCGTTGGCTGGGTGAGACAAGGAAGAGGAATGGGCCGGCGGGAAGCAGAGCTGGGGGGCGGTGCAGGGAGACTGGCCGGGGAAGATCAGGAGGAGAAGTGAGGGAGAACTGGCGGGCCGGGAAGGGGGCGGGTGAGCAAATTGGCCGGCGGGGAGCGGGACTGACCTGGGCACTTGCTGCCTGTCTTGCGCAGGCTCCTGGAGACGCACGAGCAAGGAGGAGGCTTTCCCTTCTCCTCATACTCAACTAATTGAGGGCACCGGCAGCATTCGCGGCCCCGCCTCCCAGCTGGGACTCCCAGCTGCTCCCCTGTCCACGCCAGGCTTCCATCCGGTGCACAGCCAGAAAAATCAGAAACTACTGGACATTGAACTTGTCCGGTATTTTCTGATTTTTTTTTTTTTACCAGACAGAGTGCGCAAATACCAGACTGTCCGGTACAATACCTTAAACCTGGCAACCCTACCCAGTGGCCACCCTGCAGTGGCCACCCAGGGCAGGGGCTGTGTTAACCCCCACAGTGCCGGCCAGCAGCGCCCTTCCCCCCGCAGCTGTGGGGCCCTGCGTGGCCAGTAGCCGGGCTGGGCACGTGAATCCTGCTGCTGCCAGCTCTGCACGTCCTCCTGCGCTCACTGGCGCATGTGCATGTACCCTCCCCCAACCCGGGGCGCAATTAAACTGTCTGCCCAGGGTGCCGGAATGGCCCGGTCCGGCCTTGAGCACTTTGGTGCTTCAGTAAAGTAAAATAGTAGTTAAGGAAATATTAACTCTGTACTTACTATCTACTGAGATATAAATGTCTAAGTTAGTCTTAGTTATGCTTGAGTTTATAAATTGCACATTCAGAAATTCCAAATCGTTGGGGTAGGTGTAAAGCAACTCATTGCTACACAGGGGAAGAGGGTAAAATGAGGCCACTGCTCCCCTCAGTAACCTCCAGACCCAGAACGATGCAGGTGAGACTCTCCTGCACTCTGGGGAAACAGGGATCCACGGAGTATCTCTCCTTCAATTTGCCATGGGGAAGGAGTGCAAAGGCTTTAGCTGATAGGAGCAGCTAACAAAGCAGCCAAAGCAGGGAGATAGAGAGAGATTTCCACCAATGTGACAGAATTTTCTCTACCCAGTGTTGATTGGCTGTTGCAACGGTTCTCTTCCCCATTTTTCAATGTTGCTTCACTTCAGCTGCAGTCCACACCTGCTTTTTAACCCCTTTCTCAAGCTCTGCCTCGCATGCCATCTTCCTTTCAATGTTCTCTCCTCTTCACCTTTCTTTCTATTTAGTTTACTCCCTCCTAACTAAGCTCACCTAAACAAAATTACACAATGAACATAACAATTCCTGCCATCAAACTGCTGACGCTGCTTGTACGTTACACCCTGTTCCTCAAGCCCTGTCTCTGTCTTATTATTTAGACTGTAAGGTCTTTTGGGGTGAGACCACCTGCTGCCCGGCACCAGGCCCAGCCTCAGGGCAAGGCAAGCAAGGCTGTTGCCTTGGACCCTCACACCTTCACGGCTAGCGTTGCCAGATGGTTGAAACAAAAATACCGAACACCTGCCCCCCCCCCCAAAAAAAAAAAACACCAAGAGAAAAAATCTTTTGAAAAAAAGGGGGGGGGGGGGAGACCAAGGTGTTTAAAAAAAAAAAAAGCATTAAAGTAGCATGTCCCCTTTAAGAGTGAGTGCAGGGATAGGAACAGGGGAGTAGTTGAGCACTAAGACCCAGGGGATTCATTGCTTCCCTGTGGTCTTTTTGCCGGCAGCCTTGTGGAGCCAGGTAAACATGGGCTCTGTGGGTGTTGGGGGGGGGTGCTGAAAGAGGGGAGGCCAGGCGCTGAGTGTTTGTAGGGTTGCCAGGTGCCCGGCATTTTAGCCTTCTGGCTGGGGGAAAAAAATCAGAAAATACCAGACATCTTAGGTGTCCGGTATTTTCTGAATTTTTTTTACTGGACAGGAGGCAAAAATACTGGACTGTTCGGGTGAATACCAGACACCTGGCTACCCTATTCATGGCCCCGTGCTGCCTGGAGCCTGCCTGTCCCCGCCTGCCTTGGTCCCCGCATACTCTTGGCTGGGTCTCCCAGCACAAAGAGACCCCACTGGTTGGTCCTTAGACAATATCATAATAATTGATTATTAATAAAATAGAAACATGTAAGTTCCACTCCAATTTGTGAATATTAAGATTGCATTTGGTTATGACACAAATAGAACCAAGAAAAACACTAGACAGAAACAGTTTCACATTAGCAGAATGTCCAATGCATACAACTAAATCAATGCTCTAGTACTTAACAAAACATGGCCATCTAACAAATGAAACTTTTGGTACTAAATAAGAATTTAACTTACTTTGCTCTCTTGGCCATCTCATTGCCATCCCAGCGTGGGCTGTACGGGTAGTTTTTCTGGGCCTGAGAATATAGCTGTCCACTGTTAGTGAAGTGATAGACTGACTGAAATGTTAGAGTTGGCTGGTCTCGAGGAAAGTACAGGGGTAGATCAACTGCAAAGATAGGAAAAGAGATACCTTTTCTTACTTTCATCTTTCAAATGAATAGAATGGACACATGATTTTATGGTCATTTACGGGTTAATCACAGTATTTCCATCAATTCAATCTCACACTCTTGTTTTTTCTCTCTCTAATGCAGTGGAGCATAATGCATTAAAGTCTTTGTTTTTCCAGCTCAGTTTTTATTTTCAGGAATGCTACACTCATTCTATTTTGTGAAAAAGAGCAGTATTGTACTAGAACCTTTCATATAATGAGTTGAAAGGACTTTATCAGCCAGAATTAATCCTTGCATCATGTCTGGGATATGCAAGTATTACTATTCCCATTTTACAGATTTAAAAAGGGAGGCCCAGAAAGGTTAAATTATTTGACCACGGTCACATTGGGAGTTCCTTGCAGAATCTAGAACAGAACAAAGGAATCCCAACTTGTAGTTAGCCATGGTAGCAAACAAAACTACAAAGACATTGGTATCAGAAATGGTTTGCTCTTAAACATCCCCACAATTAGATCTTATCTCTTTTAACTCCCCTTGCTTATCACCACAAAAGGAAGGAGGCCATCTCAAGATTAGTCAGGCCTGTTAGATCAACAAACCAGTCTCCAACAGAGAGTATTCCAGAGGCTCTTCAGTTTGTAAAACTTAACCTTTTAATTGCCAAACATATTCTTAGCGTATAACATTTTCATGGGTCTTCTTTTATACATGGTAGACTTCAAAAATCTCTTTACTTTGTTTTAAGACCTTTACTCATACATCAACTTCTGTATTCACTTTTAAGGCCTGAGTCTGCATCCACTGAAATCAATGGCAAAACATGCATTATTTTTAGTCGTACAGGATCTGGCTGTCAAAGCACCCCACATTATTCCATTTAATATTTCAAAACTATTCATCCCACACCAAACCTAAGAGACAAAAGAACAAATTCTTTAGTCAGCTCACCAGTTTAGTTTTGCAAGACTGCAGCTCATTTATATGAATTTGGAACCCCAGAAATCTTCATTTGTGACTTGATTGTATACGCAATGAGACATCAAAGTTTCTGACTGATTAAGTCAGAGGTAGTATCAAAATAGAGGACGCTCATTGGCTGCGTCTAGACTGGCATGATCTTCCGGAAATACTTTTAACGGAAAAGTTTTTCCGTTAAAAGTATTTCCACAAAAGAGCGTGTAGATTGGCACGGATGCTTTTGCGCAAAAGCATCCGTGCCTAGTATAGACGCGCTTTTGCGCAAGAAAGCTCCAATGGCCATTTTAGCCATCGGGCTTTCTTGAGCAAAAAATTAAGGTGCCTGTCTACACTGGCCCTCTTGTGCAAGTATTCTTGCGCAAGAGGGCTTATCCCTGAGTGGGAGCGTCAAAGTATTTGCGCAAGAAGCACTGAATTCTTACATTAGAACGTCAGTGCTCTTGCGCAAATTCAAGCGGCCAGTATAGACATCTGGCAAGTTTTTGTTTAAAAAGTGGCTGCTTTTGCGCAAAATCTTGCTAGTCTAGATGCACCCATTGAGTGTAAAATTGCTGAGAATCATAGCAACTAAAATGGAAAAGCCCTGTTAAATCAGCTACACAGTTCTATGCCAGAGCAGGATTGTTCTCCTCTCTCCAATACATTTGCTAGTATTTTGTGTAATCTGTTGTTATCAAGATATGATGCTTCCACCACTTCCTTTGAATGCCTATTCCAGGGCGTAAGATATAGCAATCTCAGAAATGTGTTTTGATATTTAGCTTAAATTTTCCTATTTCAAATTATTGTTTTCCTATTCATGCTCCTTTTATCTCTTCTTTGGTTTAAATACTGAGCACCAAGCGCCAGTCATGCCTTCCATATATGTATGGTAATAAAGTACATAAAAACTTAATGCAATATTCCAACTGTGGTCTCAGGCTAAAGCAGATCAGTTAAGGTACTGATGTCTGGACAGTTCAGTGAACCAGTGTCTGAGTTTTATGTTGTGATAAGGCTCTGAATAACTGGAGGACTCAGTGCACACAAAAGTTTGCTTGATAGTTTTAAGAGGTAACATGATGGTGTGAATTAGTCTGATCAATTTTGAGGAAGAACATTAAGTACTACACTAAAGAAAAATAAAAGTTACATTCAAAGATTAAATACTTTGTCAAAGTCTTCTTTGGTAGCATGGCTAATGACTGATATCCCTGAAAAAGAACTGCCATACAATAAGCCACTTATCAGTAAGCAAACTACTTGTTCCTCCTCCTACTCACAGACATTCCTCTTATACCAAAGAATTAAAAGAGCTGCTCTGTGTAGAGCAATGAAAACCCATGTGACTGGTTCTCAGTTTTGAAGCTGGAAATTTACTTTGTTTAGTGTTGTCTGTTTAAACTCCATTTGTTAGTACAGCCTCTATCTGCTCTCTCTACAATCAGTTCTTTGAGGAACACCCTCCTTCAAATAACTGTGCAAATAGTATGAAACTTGCTTATAAGTATGAATAAAGAATAGCAAACTCCAGTAAAGAAATTAAACCTTATTATCTTCATTTACTTCATTTATCTTTTTACTAGAGAATGTCAGGTCTCCATTAACTTAATTCTGAAAACTTCTCTCTATGTGAAGGAGGCAGTAACAGCATTTTTCCTCACATTAACTAAAACAAAAGCTTTGTTTTTAAGAGAAAGTATCTAGCAGTAGATCTACTGTCTAAAAGCACAATAAAGACATTGCTGTCAGAGAAGCTCTCATTTTCTGTGATTAGCCTTTCATTTTTCAAAGTATTTTTTTCAACAAAAGGTACAGCAAGAGAAGAAAGAAAGAAAGAAAATGCTTCCTCCTTTGCTTAAGCAAAATATACACAGGAGTTTTCAGGAGTTAAATATGATGCAAATTGATGAACCAAATAATCAAAATAGGTACTGACCCTTCCTAGTCAAGAGCAGAAGCATATTGAACTTCATGCAAAATGCTGAAAAGCTATGGTGTCTGCCTTTGATTTCTAAAGCCATTGTCCACCTGGGAACACAGAGGATAACCAAAGCTGCCATTTTCTAAACCAGGGCTACGTCTACACTGGCGGGTTGTTGTGCCAAAAGTATGCAAATGAGGCTAAGCGTGGAATATCGCCGAGCCTCATTTGCATATCTAATGAGCGCAATGCCGTTATTCCTGAAAATAATCAGCGTAGCGGCACTGCGCAAGAGGGTTTTTCTTGCGCAAGAAGGGGCAGTGTAGATAGCTCCTTCTAGCACAAGAGCCTTTTCTGCAAAAATGGCAGCTCATTAGATATGCAAATGAGGCTCGGCGATATTCCACGCTTAGCCTCATTTGCATACTAATGGTGCAACAACCCGCCAGTGTAGACATAGCCCAGGTGTTTCTCTAATGAAAAATGTGAGCTGAGCCACATTAAGCAAAAATGTGACCCTAATTATGGAGCACAGAAACACCTGTAGTTCAAGTAAACAGGAAATGGACCTGAACTTTAATATGCTATACACATCTCAAGATAGCCAGCATAATATTATTTAAGTAGACATGAAAGGCCACAAGTCCACTGGAGTTCATAAACTAGTAGTTTCTAATGTCAAGTTTGAATTTGTTCTCAAATTTTTTAGAGCACCTAAAATAAGCGAACATGTTATAGGTTAATATTTACAAGAGGTTTTGAAAATAAAGGGTGAATACGCCTGAACACACCTGTTATTTTTGTGAAGGTGGCAAAGGTGTGACAGAATATTTTGCCCTTTACTTGTTATACAAATTAGATAACTGTGAATTACAGAACACAGAAAAAATCTGCTTCTGTATAGTATACAAGGGACTAGAGTTAAGTGTTGGTGAAAATATACCAATCAGACCATATTCATATTTTACTGTGTAGAATGCATCACAGTGTAAAATAAATCACACTTTCTCAAGTGAGCATCTGAATTGTGAAGATTACAAAAGCAAGCTTTGGCTTGGCATATTATTTAGCCACAGTATTTAGATACTTAAGAACCACAAAAAAGTATTCATGTTGAATGCAAGTGCTATTTCCAAATCAGAGCTGACTCACAGGTACCTTGGTGGTGTATCTGCAGACAATAAGTGGATGACTCATGTCTGTAAATTCCTGAAAGTGGCAATAGACCCCTTGCTTAGTCATCTTTTGCATGGGTGCTGTTTCATGAGCTTTGTAAACCATAATGAGGGATTTAACTCTTTACCAGTTTTTTTTCCTGCCATTCTAAACAGTACAAATTACATATCTAAAAATAACTTCATCTAGGTGAGTCACACATCACTTAACAAGCTTCCACAAGTCATATGATTAAATAGTAATATTTACTTATGAAGGTACAAATCTTGCTGTCGAGCTAATCTTGGCTTTAAAATAAAAGGGGTATCAAAGGAAGTGCCATTTACCTCTTCTTTTCCAGGAATAGAAATGCTTCACTCTTAATTGGTTCAGAAAAGTAAAGCTTCCTGGTTCAATTCCAGATTCACATTAATTTAATTATTTGTATTTTTTACTTTGTCTTTAAAAAAAATAATTTAAGAACACAACAACTGATCAGACCAGAGGTGCACATGAGTAGGGGAAAACAGAATGATGCTTATAACACTCAAGACTAAAATTACCAAACATGAGTCTAATTACCAAACGTGAGTTGGAACTCCCTAATTTGGTAAAGCTCCCATCTTTACTCTGGCAAAACTTTTACAGTGTTGCTGATGAAGTAAACCCTGAGTAAAGGGTCTCATGATTCCCCTAACTTTTTATGCTGTGCTTATTCCAAAATAAAAAAGAAAACATGATTTGCACATCAAGAATGGATCACAGGACTTAATTAAAGTTTATAAATAGTTATAGTACTTTGATCATTTCTAAATATAAAAGAAGCTACAAAAACAACACAAACACATTTGAGTTTTTCTTGTTTTTGTGCTGTCATGTAATTTAATGTATACACTCGGTATATGTTCAATATTGCTAACTAAACGTCAAACCCTCGTTAACAGTTGCCTGAAA